CGCCTACTCCCATGAGTACTAGTGTTAAGCTTGATGCGGATGAGAGTGGTGAAGATGTGGACCAAAAACTATACCGAGGTATGATAGGTAGTCTTCTTTATCTTACCGCTAGTAGACCCGATATTATGTTTAGTGTGTGTGCATGTGCACGTTTTCAAGCATCTCCTAAAGCATCTCATTTAATTGCGGTTAAAAGGATCATTAAGTATGTTAATGGAACTTTTAACCTTGGTTTGTTTTATCCAAGAAGCACCTCTTTTGATTTATATGGTTTTTGTGATGCCGACTTTGCCGGATGTAAGGTAGATCGCAAGAGTACTAGTGGAACATGCCAATTCTTAGGAAATTCTCTTGTTTCTTGGGCTTCCAAGAAACAAAATTGTATTGCATTGTCCACTACGGAAGCGGAATACATTGCCGCCGGCTTATATTGTGCTCAAGTCTTATGGATGAAACATAGCTTAGTTGACTATGATTTGAATTTTCAAAATATTAAAATCTTTTGTGATAACACAAGTGCTATAAATATTTCCAAAAATTCGGTTTTGCATTCTAGAACTAAACATATTGATGTACGCCATCATTTCTTATGCGATCATGTAGAGCGACAAGATGTATCCCTAGTATTTGTTGACACAAAATCTCAACTATGGGTTTATGCACTATGTGAAAGTTCTACATTGCTTGCTTGACTAGTTGTATTTTGCATTTAGTATTTCTCTTTACCCCATTTTTGATGGTGACAAATGGGGAGAGAAATCTCCTCAATTGTTGCATATATTTAGGGGGAGCTCATAGATAGGGGGAGCACCTATCTATAAGCTATTTTATTTTTGCTCCTATATAATGGTTGGTTGTCATCATCAAAAAGGGGGAGATTGTTAGCCCTTATGTTTTGATGATGTTCTTACAACCACCATTATCGGTACTAATGGCTTATTGAGTGTAAATATAGTAAAATCATTTGTCAAGCTCGTTAGTGCCATTAACGGAGGATGGATGGAATATACGCTAAAACGAAGACATCTAAAATGTAGTAAATTCATTTATCAAGCTCGTTAGTGCCATGAACGGAGGATGGATGGAATATATGCTACAACGATGATATCCAAAGGAGGAGGAGGCTAAGAGATGAAGCAACGTTATTTTAAGAACGACAAATTCGAATACAAGCTTCATCCGATTCAAGCTATATCAAAGCTCAAGTATTGTTCTTTATATATGAGGATATTAGCTTTCTTTTGTTTTTTCTCTCTAGTGCTAGAATGTAGGCAAAGAGTTACTGAGTTTACTTGAAGCTATTGGGAATCACACACACGATTTCATACTTAGGTTTTTAAGCGTTTTTCACAAAATACTATTTTTCATAAGTATGAGGACCTATCTGCAAAATTCCTTTTCTAAACAGTTTGTTTTTAGTATTAAAAACATTTTACAAAGTTTCAGAATTTTCAGAGGTCAAATAAATATTTTGCAAATATTTAAAGTTGATTAAAAACCTGTTTTCTGAAGAATGTCAGAAAGCGGTCGACCGGTCCGGTCGACCGCTCCCAAGGCCATTCCTTACTATTTTCCAGAGAATCTCGGCTCGACCGGTACGGTCGACCGAAATCTCGATTTTCTAATCGGTCGATCGTGCCGGTCGACCGACGGTGTTTCTGTTTGTTTTCCAAGTTTTCGAAGCAGCTCGCGGTCGACCGACGTGATTTTTCGGTCGACCGAAGTATTATTTCGGACGACCGAATTTTCCTTCAGTCAACCGCGACTTTTTCAAACGGTCATTTACCTAGTTAACTGTGCTTACACTTAACTGTGTTTGGCACAGTCTGAGATAAGGGTCTGAAAAGGAGATTACTATCCTATTTGGGAAGATTGGGTTTTGTTTTAAATTGATTAAATCTCTTCTATAAATAACCCCAGTCTTCTTCTTCTTCCTTAAGCCCTAACGTTTGCAAAAACCAGAGTCTGCTGTTTCCTGAGAAAAATTTTCAAAATCTGGTTTCTGTGTTTTCTCTCTGTTTTTGTGTGTGTTTCACTTCCCAGCTTCAGTACTCTTTCTCTTTGCTATAGGGGCTTGTGTAAAGAGAGAGTCTTGCATCTTTTCTTCTGCTGCTGTGAGTGAGATCTGTGTAGATCAACTGTGAGGGAGTGTGATCTGTTGAGATCAAACTGTGTAGTGAGAGAGATCGTGTGGGATCGCTGTGTAGACGAAGTTCCGGCTTCCAAACCGGGTGTGTAGTGGATTTTTCCTCGAGAGTGGGGAGCGGGGACGTAGGCCAGAGGGTCGAACCTCGTTAACACATCGCGCGTCAAGGATAACGAACTCCTAACTCTATCTCTCTTACTTTAATTGCTTTACTGTTTTGTGGTTTGCTTGTGTTTGATTTTTATTGCATATTAGAGCATCTTGACCCTAATCACCCCCCCTCTAGGGTCCAACAATTTGCACTATAATGGAAGGAAACAACTTGTTAGTTATATATTGATGTACATAAAAGTTCTATTTTCAACACTTGTTATTTCTAACTGCAAGTTCTAGTGTAAGTGTTTGTCACGATTGCCCATGTTAGTTCTAGCTTAGTTATTATTAGTTCTAGCTGCTGTGGTGTCAGTTCTAGATGCTATTGTGTTAGTTCTAATTCCAGCTAACGCAAGATCTAGTGCAAGTATTTGTGACGATTGGCCATGTTAGTTCTAGCTTAGTTATTATTAGTTCTAGCTGCTATGGTGTTAGTCTTAGATGGTATCTTGTTCTAACTCCAGCTAACGCAAGTTCTAGTGTAAGTGTTTGTTCTATACGCCATGTTAGTTCTAGCTTAGTTTTTGTTAGGTGTTAGTTCTATATGCTATCATGTTAGTTCTAACTCTAGCTAACGTAAGATCTAGTGTAAGTATTTGTGACGATTACCTATGTTAGTTCTAGCTTAGTTATTGTTAGTTCTAGCTGCTGTGGTGTCAGTCCTAGATGCTATTGTATTAGTTCTAACTCTAGCCAATGCAAGTTCTATTGTAAGTATTTGTTCTATACGCCATGTTAGTTCTAGTTTAGTTTTTGTTAGTTCTAGCTACTGTGATGTGAGTTCTAGATGCTATCGTGTTAGTTCTAACTCTAGCCAACACAAGTTCTAGTGTAAGTGTTTGTTCTAATGCCTATGTTAGTTCTAGCTTAGTTATTATTAGTTATAGCAGTTGTGGTGTCAGTTTTAGATGCTATCGTGTTAGTTCTAACTCTAACTAACATAAGATCTAGTGTAAATATTTGTTCTATTGCTCATGTTTGTTCTACTTTAGTTATTGTTAGTTCTAGCAGCTGTGGTGTCAGTTCTAGATGATATCATGTAAGTTCTAACTCCAGGTAACGCAAGTTCTAGTGTAAGTATTTGTTCTATTGCCCATGTTAGTTCTAGCTTAGTTATTATTAGTTCTAGCTGCTGTGATGTCAGTCCTAGATGCTATCGTGTTAGTTCTATCTCTAGCTAATGCAAGTTTTGTGTAAGTGTTGGTTCTAGTATTCATGTTAGTTCTAGCTGAGTTAATATTAGTTCTATATATTCTCGTGTTAGTTCTAATACTTACAATATTTTATCTAGTAGAGATGGTGTTAATTCTCATTTAACATGAAAATACTTTCAACATTAGACAAAATGAAGTAGTTTGTAAATATACAAGTAAAATAGTTAACAACATATCAAGTACTTAGTCTGCAATAGGTTCATTACATATTTTACGGTTATGATCTTCCATATGACATAAATTAGAACTCACGTGGTATAAATTAGAATTAACATGAGTTACGATAGAACTAACCTGACATAAATTAGGACTAACATGTTACAAATTAGAACTAACGAGGCACAAATTAGAACTCAAATGGTATATATTAGAACTAACATTATACCTGTTACTAAAAAATACTATATATGTTGCAAAAACATTACACCGTTCAATAACTAAGTAGTACAACATAAGATTCATTTCAACCACATGAAGATCTCAAATAGCATTTGACATCCACTTATATATCTAAAACTTGCAAGATTGCTCCCAAGATTGCTATTAGTCTTTTCTTTTTATCCTAAGATTGTTATTCTTCTTCTCCACAGCTTGGCCTATTTGCAAATTTCATGACAAATATATGAAATGAGTTAAAATGTGAATTTTTATGAAGTTTTATGAAATGAATCCAAAATTTACTATGGAAGGAAACAAAAAGCGATAAGGGAACAAATCCAGACATATGTACATGACCAAATACAACAATTTGTGCTCAAGAAACACCACATGTATCCAGACATATGTTTAGCTACAAATTACATGACAAATTAATCATGAGACATGACTTTGTGCTATGAAGTTTAATGAAAAAATATATTAATTGCACATTGGCAAGTTGACTTTACAGCTTGTTCTATAATGCCCAAGTTCACCACATCTGCTACATATATGTTTCTTCCTTTCTTTTTTTCTTGTGCTTGTTCTAAACCTGACTGGATTCTAATAGCATTGCGTGGATGACCTTTAGTCCTTGTAGGTCTATCAGGATCACTAACTATAATCTTAGGAATGTGCTCCATTGTTTATGAAATGAGTGCAGAAATCTGAGGAATATCTACCATTTGATTTTGAATTTCTCCAACCTCTTCTTCAAGTGATTCTATGAAATTTGTTAGCACATCATCTAGTTTTTGCAACTTCTCTTCTGAATCAAATGCAAGCTCGAGCACATTATTGAATTTTGCTCTTGAAGCCCAAGATTTCAATAAATTAATCTTCTCTTCACAGCTTGTGATGTTTCTTCCAAATACAATGTTGCCAAACCCAATGTTATGATGCCAAGCATGTATAGTCTAATGATGGAGGATGTAATGGTCGGGTAACGAATCCATTTTCCTAGCCATCATTAGCGATAATATATACCTACATACAACATCATTAGTTTCAAACAAAGTACAAGTATAACAAAACTACGTCTGACTCGATTGTTCACAAGCAACCACCTCCTATTTTCCTCTATCTGTAAACTTACAGATCTTGTATTCAATAATGTCCCCATCTTTTCTTAATTCTTCACAAAACTCTGTACCAAATCGTTTGAATTCAGTTTGGAACATATCAAACATATTGCGTGTATACATTTCTCCAGTTTGGACCTTAATTGGATATCCAAGGAGCATGATAGGCTTTGTGTTAAGACTCTTAAAATCTTCATGGGCTTTACTTAAGCGACGATGAGTTATTGCTTTTTCATATTGTGTCATAAACTCGTGTAATTGAGTCTGTGAGTTAACATACCCATCAAAAAATGCATTAATACTTTTACTCCTTTGGCTCGATCTCATTCTAACAAAAAAAGTGTCCTTCAGATAACATGGCACCCAATGTTCTCGATATTTGTAAATTGTTTGCAACCACCCCTCCCCTTCTTCATTTATATTAAACTTCTCCTTCATCTCAAGCCAATATACTTCACATTGTTCAATTGAAGAGTTATTATACCACAAGCCCCAATACCTTTGAAACTGTTCACCATAACAAGACCCCAAAGTAGGCAAATGATCAGTAATATGCTTTTCCATGTACCAATAGTAATAACAATATCTTGTCATTGGAAACACAAAGTGAATAGTATTACACATTGCTCTATCCTGGTCTATTATAATAACACCTGGTTTAATCTTATGCATGCATTTTAGCCATTCTTGAAATAACCACACAATTGTATCTTCCTGTTCATCGACTAATAATGCACAACCAAGTAAAGTGGACTGCCTGTGGTGATTTACACCAGTAAATGGAGCAAATGAAAGACTGAACTTATTAGTTCTGTATGTCACATCAAACACAATAACATCACTGAATTGCAAATAAGATGTTCTTGATCTTTCGTCGGCCCAGAAAATAGTCCTCATTTGTCCACTGCTATCTACTTCTATTACAAAATAAAATTCTGGATCATTCACTATCATACTCTGAAAATGTCGGATGATAGATAGGTATTCATGGCTAATATTGTTGACTCTTTGGGTTCTGATATGATCAATACACTATTATGATGTCACTAATTCATCTTCTCTTCCATTGGTTGCATTGATGATGCAAGAAATAGTGGAAGGAGGCATACATTCTTCTTACAGACTATTAATAAGTTTTTTACATCTTTGAGTTTTATGGAATTGTTGATATGATCTGTGCATTTTTGCTTTGTCTGGACTACTCAACACATGATTTTTATGTTCTTCAACAAACCCCATGACCTCCCACGATTTGTCCTCTAATAATTTAACTCGCCCTTACATCACACTCGGGTCTCTCGCCGAAAAGGGTGATCTATCTTGTCTCTATTAGATCTATAGCCCTCCTTATCACAAACAAAGATTCTGCCTACCACTTCTCTAGTCTTGCGAGAGTAATTTATCGTGCTCTTCCGTATTCTAAAACCTATCAACAATGCATAAGAGTTATAATAGTTATAAGCTTCTTCATAACTATTAAACTTCATTCCTAGTAGTGGTTTAGGAGCATTTACAGTATTGACCGTAATTTCATTTCCAATAGCACTTGATTCTCCCATTCCGAACTCTACACTAGTTGAATTTGTTTCATCCATTCCGAACTCCTAAAGAAAAAAAGAAATTCAAGAAAAACAAATTTAGTATTTGTAAAAACTTTGATGGTTGTATAAAATGCTAAAATAATTACAACTTAATACAACAAAGAAGATTGAATTACCAGAAAAAATATTATAGATTGAACTTACAATCTTTAGAAACCAATGATATTAATTTATGTTAAGTAGTGATATTAAGAAAATTTTTTAGCACAACCGATTAAAGAAGAAAAGACCCATTAAACCAATTTTAGCACAGTCCAATCAAAGGGATCGAGGGATAGATCGAGAGAGAGGGTTCGAGTTATTACCTGCGTCGGTGTCGGTGTCAAGAGAGGGAGGAGGGAGGGTCTTCGACAGGAGAGAGGTGTCGACGTTGGTGTCGAGAGAAGGAGGAGGGAGGGTCTTCGACGGGGAAAAGGCATCGACGTCAGTGTTGAGAGAGGGAGGAGGGAGGGTCTTCGACGGGGGAGCTCGGCGTCGACGTCGGTGTCGAGAGAGGAAGGAGGGAGGGTCTTCGACGGGGGAGCTTGGATTCGGCATCGGTGTCGGTCATTGAGAGAGGGACCAGGGAGAGTCTTCGATGGGGGAGCTCGGTGTCGGCATCGGTCATTGAGAGGGGGAGGAGGGAGGGTCTTGGATAGGGAGAGAGGTGGATTTGGTTCACGGGGATCAAGAGAGAGGGAGAGAGATAGCTTCACGGGATGTGAGAATTCTTGCTCTTGGTTTTAGGATAGGCTTTTTGTAGAGTTAAAAATGGGGTTGTGGGGGGGGGGGCGAGGAGGTGGAGAGCGGGTGAGGTTTGGGAGAGAAGGCGTCCTGCCCAGCTCACGGGGGTTTCCTAGGGAGCTGGGTCACGAGAGAGAGATATAGATGGTCACGGAGAAGGGATTTATTTTCAAACCCTTACAGCGCCACGTAAGGCGAACGCGCCCAGCGCTTCCCTTAGTTTTCTCATATATATATATATATATATATATATATATATATATATATATATATATAATAATTATATAATATATATATATATATGTATATATATATAATAATAATAATATATATATAATATATATATAATATATATAATAATATGATATTCAATACTATATATGATATCATATATATATATATATTTTTTTTTTTTGAAAGATAAGTATAATTTCATTAAAACCAAATACACGTACAAAGTGACAGTATTAGCAAAATAACAACAGGAATCTAAACTAGAGAAACTATAGAGAGGGGAGAGGACCATGGCCGTCACCCTCCACTATAGAAACCTAGTAAGATTCCAGAGTTACCAAAGCCAAAAAAATAAAAATAGTACCCTCAATTACAGAACAATAACATCCAGCTCTCGAAGAGATATTCACAGTTTTACATAACCCCAATTTGTTAGAATATCAGAATTACCAACCTTCCAATTGCAAGTTCTAAGCAGAATATTAATGTCTTCATATATTCTCCTAAACACCATAATCTTGTGCAATTTTTTATCATGGAAAATCCTTCTGTTCCTTTCCTGCCAAATATGCCAAACAGTTGCATTCAATGCTAATCTAGCCAATATATAAGTATTATCTTTCTTCTTGAACTTTTGTTGGATTTCCAGGGCTTCTGTCTTTAGGTCCTTAACATCAGTAGCATTCAGTTGCATTTTTAGTTTACACAGCTTCCAGATAAATGCTAAAAATTAACATTGGAAGAATAAATGATCCCTAGTCTCCTTCGAGGTATTACAAAGAGCACAGACTTCCATTGAAGTTATCCCAAATTTGAATAGTCTGTCTCTTGTAGCTAACCTATTATATAAACTTCTAAGCATGCAACGAGACATCCTAGGATTTGAGTATGGAAACCATACCACATTGTAAAGCTCAAATATGTTATAGGATGTCCTTACTTGATTCCAAGCTGAAGAAAAGGAGAAAACCCCATCACCTGTATGCAACCATATCCATTGATCTTCCTGACCTGTAACTGATATATTAGTAATGAAAGGTATCAGAGGGCTAAGACATGGCAGTATGATATTCCATAGAAAGTTTTGAATGATACGAGAGACTGTCCAAGTAATAGTGCCTGTGAGTTGAGAAGTGAGATGGTGCAGTAGTTCAATAATTCTACCTTCCTGTAACCATGGGTCAAACCAAAGGGAAGTTGTCTCACCATTCCCAATAGTTTTCCTAATGCAGTTCAGAGCTTTCCCTTTGAGACTAGATATATGCTTCCAGGTTCCAGAATCCAATAGATTTGAAGTAGATTCCCAAAAATTAGCTCCCCTGACATATCTGACATTTATCCAGTTTGTCCAAAGAGTATTAGTTGTTAGAAGTCTCCATATCAATTTTAGAGCAGCTGCTTGACAAAGATCATTCAATTTTCTCAGACCAAATCCCCCTTCCTGTTTTGGCCGACAAATTTCCTTCCAATTGATAGCATGAAGCTTTCCAGACCAAAGAAAATTTGCAAAGATAGATTCCAGGTTTTGTACTATGGATTGAGGGAATTTATAAACAAAATACCAATAGGCTGAAGTACTAAATAATACTGATTTAATGAGTTCTAGCCGCCCTGCAAATGATAAAGAATGAGATATCCAACCTTCAATCTTATTTCTGACCTTATCAATAAGTGGAAGAAAATCCTTAGTTTTTGGGTATTTGGCTGATAAAGGTAATCCTAAGTATTTCATAGGAAGTTTCCCTATTGAAATTCCTACAATAGAGCTTAACACACCTTTATAGTTGCATCCTTTGCTGAAATATAATTTGCTCTTCTTCCTGTTAATACTCAGTCCAGTGTTCAAAGCCATAGATTCCAACAGATTGTTGATACCTTCAAAAGATTTTCTATTTGCTCTACAAAAAACCAGCATATCATCAGCAAATAATATATGAGAGATTTGTAGATCATGGTGAGTTTTTAAAATTCTGGATTTTCCCTGAGATAGTTGCTAGCTCCATACCAATAGACCAAAATTCCATGATCAGAACAAAGATATATGGAGATAGGGGATCCCCTTGTCTTATACCCCTATTACTTTTAAAAAACCCTGAGGAGGAGCCATTGAAAAGGACTGAAAAGGATGGTGTTGAAAGACATGCCTTGATCCATGTAATCCATTTAACTGGAAAACCCATGCAATGCATAACATAGTATACAAATTCCCTGTTGATGCTATCAAAAGCCTTATGTAAATCAATTTTAAAACAGGCTCTCTTGCCATGATTCTTATTGAAATCTCTAAGTAATTCATGAGCAAGTAAAGAACACTCACCAATATGTCTCCCTTGAAGAAAAGCATGCTGATTCTTAGAAATCAATTCCCCAACCACCATCTTTAATCTATTGGCCAAGATCTTAGTAATAATCTTATAAATGACATTGCAACATGAAATAGGTCAATAATCTTGAATGGAAGTAGCTTCCTTTGATTTCGGCACAAGAGTGAGAAATGTATGATTGATCTGCTTAAGAATTTTACCAGAAGTGAAGAAAGATTGCACTGCCAAGACAACATCACCCCTGATCATGTTCCAATTTTGTTGATAAAAATATACGTTGAAGCCATCTGGTCCTGGAGCCTTATCTGCATTCATTTGGAAAAGGGCATTTCTAATCTCTATGTAGTTAACTTCCTTTACTAACCATTGTTTAGATTCATCAGTCAGAATCCTCTTTACTGTCAATTTAGGAAAAACATTCCAATAGGATGTTTGATTGAAAAGACCTTCATAGAAACTGGGAGCAATGAGTTTAATATTGTCATTTGAAGTGATATGTGATCCATCTTGAGCAATAAGATGTCTGATACTATTAGTAGAATTTCTATGCTTGATAGCATTATAGAAGAAAAGAGTGTTTTTATCACCTTGCTGAAGCCATAGCTGTCTACTCTTCTGCCTCATTTCCTCTTCTTCTTTACAAAGCCAACCATCTAGCTTAGCAATTAATGCAGACTCTGTATCCTGTAATTCCTCATTTTCCATGTCCTGATTTAACTCTTTTTGAATGATATCCAATTGCTTTTTTAGCTTCATAATATTAGCCTTAGGAGATATAGCAGAATGTTTAGACCAGTGTTTCAGTGTCAATTTTAGATCTTTTAGTTTAGAAACCAATATGAACATAGGAGAACCTGTATAATGTCTATTCCAAACACATCTGAGAATTTCCTCATAACCCTGACACTGCGTCCAAAAGTTAAAAAATCTGAAAGGTTTAGGCCCAGACTGTAAAATGGGAGTCAGATGTAGAAGATCTGGAGTATGGTCACTAGTTGAAGTACTTTTATACTCTATGAAGGCTTGAGGAAATTGATCAAACAATTTAGCATTTCCCAAACCCCTATCCAATTTTCCATATATTCTGCCTTTACCTTGTTGTTTATTATGCCATGTCCATAGTGAACCAGTGCTCTTGATATCAGAAAGACCACATGATTGAATACATTCATTAAACTCTTGGAGTTTCTTTACAGTAAGATGCCTACCTCCAATTTTTTCTGAGGTAAATCTACAAACATTGAAATCCCCCACAAGCAACCATGGCATTGATGCAATTTTATCATAGATATCTCTAATATCAGCCCATAATGATAATCTTGTAGATTCTGAATTTTCACCATAAATGACACTCAAAATTAAATTGAAACCTCCTTTGTTTTTAAGCCTAATTGTTATAACTTGTAAAGTAACAGATAATACTTCACCAATCCAGACATCTGAATCCCATACCACCCAAATTCTACCTCTATCAGAAGCGAAATAATTATTGCAATATGACCAATGAGCAGGTATACATTTAGTAATTCTGTAAGCTTTAGATGATTTGACTTTTGTCTCTAAAAAACCAACAACACTGGGCTTCAAAGATAATATATGATTTTTAATATCCCTTCTCCTTCCTAATTTATTCATGCCTCTAACATTCCAAAATAACATGGTCATAAGATATTAGCTGATGAGGACCTTGTAACCCTCTTTGGACCTGAGGAGTCTTTATTCACTTTGACCTGACTTTTCTTCTTCATAAGCAGCTGATCTTTTTCAGTTAACCATTCAGGATTATCAATAGCAATAGGAAAATATAAACCTTTCTCATTTGAATTACCCCCACCAGATTGCAAAGAATCAAAAAAACCTGTTTTATGTTTAGCCTGCTCTGATTTATTCTCAGTTATAGGAACAACTGTAACAGCAAGGTCAGAGGAGCCTGATGTATCTTCTATAATACCTGCTGTGACAGATTGGTGAGATTCATGTATAGGATCATAATTGTATCTGTTAGCAGCAACATTGTTCAATGTATCTGATTTCTGTAACAGCTCTGTATCCGAGGTATCTGTTTTATCAGTGTAAGCAGACTTATCTTTCATAGATTTCTCCTGGGCATTTAATTTATCCTTTTTAACCTGGCCTTCAGCATTATGATACACCAACTCATGATCAGAGAAAACCTCAGAATCCAAATGAACATCATTTATGGTATCAGCAGCATGCATTATTCTTTCAGTAGTTGTAGCTTCAACATTTATCTGGTTCTTATTACTAACAACATCTTCATTTATTAGTCCTTCATTATCTTTAATTAAAATATCATTGTTGTATGAATTGTCAACAATCATAGATTCTCCAAACCCAGTTTCATTTGATGTTGTTTTAGGCACCCACTTCTCAACTATAACAACTGGACACTGATATTCAACATGACCAAAATTTTGACATTTATCACATTTAGGTGGAATCCATTCATACTCAACGGCAGTTTCCAACCAATCTCCATTCCCTAAATCCATCCTTATAGAATTTGGTAGCTTAGCTTTAGAGGAAATTTCCACAAAACATCTAGCATAGGCTAACCTTTCACTCGATGCTGTTGCTTTATCTATATAAAGAGGATTACCCACAAGGCTAGCAATACGACCAATAATATTATTAGACCAAAGCTTGAGATGTAAAGATGGTAGTCTAATCCAAACTGGAACTGAGTTAAGGAGCTCTCTTTCTAATCCAATGTTTTCAGACCATTTTTTCAAGATAATTAACCTTCCGTCAAATAACCAAGGCCCACCATTCAAAACTCTGTTTAACTCTTCCTTGCATCCAAATTTAAAGAAGAAGAAGCCATTTTCTCTAGAATATATCTCAAGAGAACATTTTAGTTTCCATAGCCGACCAACACAACCTTTTAAATGGGAATAGAAAGGTTTATCACCAAGAACATAACCAATTAATGTATTATTCCATTTGTCAACATTAAGAAGAATTTCAGATCTTGGAATAGTAGCATATAATTGACCTTTGCTATCAATAGATGGTGGAAAATATTCTAATGAACAATTCTGATTTACCTCTCGACCCATAGTACACACATCTTTCCATGTTGTGGATCCGCCCGATTTGAATTTCCAGTTAACTGTATGCTGATGCGATGATTGATGATCTAAATTTTTAGATAATGATTGTTGAAGCCCACCATCAACCTTTTTCAATTCAAATTGATCATTCTTCCGAATTTTTCCATTATACTGAAACAATATATATATATACTATATATATATATATATATATATTATATATATATTACTTATATATATATATATATATATGTGTGTGTGTGTGTGTGTGTGTGTGTGTGGTGTTGTTGTGTGTGTGTGTGTGTGTGTGCGCGCATATATAGATATGTACATATTACATATATACATATATATATAGAGAGAAAATAGGTATGCTTGGTACCAAGCACAAATTTTGTGCTGGTTAGTGAGGTGTCTCATTCCCATCCACTTATTCAATTGGGGGACCATATTCAACCCATGTGAATGTGAATCACCCTATTTGAATGAGTGGAGGATAATATGCCACCTCACTACCAAGCCACAAATTTTTGCTTGGTACCAAGCATATCCATATTCCTCATATATATATATATATATATATATATATATATATATATATATATATATATATATTATATATATATATATATATACATGGTAAACTATAACAAAAATCCCCTATAAGTTTGTGTGTTTTTCACTGAACCAACTCAAAAAGTTTGAAAATTTCGTTTCTCTCTTTCACTTAATCTTCGTGAAGCTGTTACATAAATAGCATCAATTTATAGTTTTAAAGGGCGAACTCACCATACACAATTTTTGGGAATTGAAACTCCGACCTAGGTTAAGAGGGAAATGTGAGTTTAGGGTGAAAAATATAAAAGAGGGCTTTAAGATTTTCTTTAAAAGTGCTGTCCTTTTAACATCGAGCGAGTTGACATGAAAAGTTAGAACTAATGATGTTAGTCTTAGGATTTTCTGACAAAAACTTATTGGGGGTTTAAGTGAAATTTTCTAATATTTTATGATTAATAAGCTAACTCATCACAAGTAAGATCCTCTTCAAGCAGTTTTAGTTCCCTATCTAATATAATAGAAGCATATTAACTATAGGATACTTATATTTTACCATCTTACTGAATCGTTTGATAGATTCTACTCCAGTAGCAAGTCCTAAAAAGTTACGAATGTAGGAGGAAATCAAAAGAGTAGGAGAGTGTCCAAAACCATGATAGTGAAGAAACGGTGACGAAAATCAGGAAAAACGACGCGAGAGGCAATTTGGGTGTTGTCCGGTCGACCGCGGGCTTAGTTCCGGTCGACCGGAAATGTGCACAGGAATAGGGGAATTTGGTATTAAGGGTCGGTCGACCGCGAGCACAGGCCCGGTCAACTGGATTACAGGCTGAGAAATCAACCCTCTGGCCGGTCCACCGGATGCACATGCCCGGTCGACTGAACCCTGTTATGTTTATAGGTCAGTTTTCGACCCTCTGGCCGATCGACTGCGGCGACATGCCCAGTCCACCGCATCGCGGTTATGGGCCTAAGCTCGATTTCCTGATCTGTTTGGGTTCTGTGTTTGATATAAATACAAACACATTTTAGGGTTTCTATGAGGGTACAAAAGAGAGACTTTTGAGTACTTTGAGAGGGAGAATTGGTGAGAGATTTAAGAGCTTTGTGAGATCTTTTGATTAGGATTATTTGGTGAGATTATTAAGTGATTGTAATATCTATTTGTACACTCTCTCTATTAGTAAAATTTTCTCCATCCTTGCCCCGTGGACGTAGGCACATTGCCGAATCACGTAAAATTTGGTGTCTTACTGTGTGGTGCTTGTGTTTGGTTGTTGACTTTATTCTTCTATCTTATTCGTTTGTTATGTTTTGGATTCCACTGTGCACGACAAGTGCTATCAGAGCTTCGGGTTTGGCTTGAAGTTTGATTTGGAGAATTCGCTACGGATTCTCGTTTGAAGAGCTTGGATTGTCAACAATGGGCAAAACAAGTACATCGGGATCATCCCTGTCTAAGGCGATACGAGGTTTGAACATTAATAACATAAAAATTGATATTTAAAAATTTGATGTCAAGATAAATTTCGGTTTGTGGAGGTGTCAAGTGATGGATGCGTTGGATACCCAGAATTTGGAGGAGACTCTTGAATTACAAGAGAAACCCGTTGATATGGAGGATAATGTTTGGAAGAAGATAAATGGTAGAGCATGTGGGGTTATTAGGTCATATTTGACGCCGAATTTAATTTATAATGTGATGAATTAAACTTTAGTGAAATGGTTGTGGGAAACACTTAATGAAAAGTATTTAACGAAAAACATTAAGAATCGGCTTCATTTGAAGAAGAGCTTTTACCAATTCAAAATGAATAGGGGAGTTGCCATTAGAGAACATGTCAATAACTTCATGAAATTGCTGTCGGATATGGCCAATGTGGATATCATGGTTGAGGATGAAGACAAGGAGATGTTGTTACTTTGTTTATTGCCAGAGGCTTATTATGGTATCTTTGTCCTTACAATGATTAATGGTAGAACTACTGTTAGTTACAAGGAGGTGACCTCAGCATTGCTAAATTATGAGTTGAGGAAGAGTGATGGCGAACCCTCCGAGAAGGCATCAGGAGATGCATTGGCAGTGAGAGGCCGTAGTCCCAAACCCCGTCCATTTAATCGCTCAAATCCAAAGCCAAGAGGTGGTCATAGAAGTATGGGTAGGAATCAATGTGCTTTTTGTAAAGAGGACGGACATTAAAAAAGTGAATGCCCAAAGTTGAAAGATAGAGCCAGAAAGAACAAAGTGAAAGCCATTCAGACTTCAGAGATGAATGTTACCAAAGTTAGTGGTGATAATTCAGAATCAGATTCTTCAAGCTATACATGCCCAGCATTATCGTCAGTTTGTTATGCAAACTCTATAGAGTGAATGTTGAATTCGGGTGCTACATACTACATTTGCCCTAGGAGGAATTGGTTCTCTAGCTTTGAGGAGTTAAAAAAGGGGATGTTGTGTTAATGGGAAATGATTACGTATGTCTCATTAGTGGTATTGGAACAGTTCGAATTAGGATGTGTGATGGTGTGACTAGGGAGTTGAAAAAAGTGAGATTCATTTCTCAACTAACAAAGAATATCATTTCACTTGGAACTTTGGAGACATCAGGATATAAGGTGATCATGGAGAATGCAACTGTGAATGTCACAAAGGGGTCCATGATGGTGATGAGAGGTGTCAGGGAAAACAGTCTTTACTATTCGAAGGGCAAGACAATAATAGAGGGTCTGGTAGCTTCTATTACCATAGAGGAGGATAATACCCATCTATGACATATGAGATTGGGACACACTGGTGCAAAGACCTGCAAGATGGAGTTGTGTGGACGTTGCATAATTGGGAAGAAGACAAAAGTGAAATTCGGCACCGCAATTCATAACACCCAAGGTATATTAGATTACGTTCATACAGATATTTGGGGTACTTCCAAGAACACATCTCTTGGTGGGGCTAATTATTTTGTCACTTTCTTTGATGTTTATTCTAGGAGGAATTGGGTATATACCATGAAGCATAAACATAAGGTTCTGGATATCTTTGTGGAATGAAAAAAGAAAGTGGAGCTGCAAACATGTAGAAAGGTGAAAGTACGCCGTTCTGATAATGATGGTGAGTACAAGAGTGATCCATTTTTATAGTTTTACCAGGATCATGGCATTAGGCGCCATTTCATAGTTAGGGAGACACCACAAACAAAACGGGTGACCGAGAAATTAAACTGTACCTTGTTGGAGAAGGTGCGTTGTATGCTCTCACAGAGTGAATTAGCTAGATCCTTTTGAGCCGAGGCGTTGGTTTATGCGAGCCATCTCATGAATAGATTGTCGTGCACTGCGATACATGGAAAGACTCCTATGGAGGTATGGTCTGGTTCAGTGGCTAGTGATTATGATTTGATTCAGATATTTAGGTGTCTAGTTTACCATCATGTGAATGATGAGAAATTAAATATGAGAGCTAGAAAAGCAGTCTTTGTGGGTTTTAGAGATGGAGTTAAAGGCTTTAAGTTGTGGGATCCAGAAGATAAGAAGATGATCATTAGCAGAGATGTCACTTTTGATGAAGCTCACATGATGAGACCTCAGGTCCCTCAGCAGGTGGAGGAAGGCCAAACTAGTGGGGTATTGCAGGAGGTGGAGGATGATGTAACTCCACAGACTTCAAATAGTATTGTATCCATTGAGGCTCCTACAGAGGGGACGCTGAGAGGAGATAAGACAGATGGGCAGGTGGAGGATACAGTGATTATTGGGACTCAGGAACAAGGTCATGTTCAGGAGTCCATTGCATCTAATAGACCAAGAAGAATCATTCGTCGGCCAACTAGATATGATGATGTGATAATTGCATATGCTTTGTCAGTGGAAGTCATTGATGATTTGATTCCTTCTACATATAAGGAAGCAGATTCAAGCTCTGATTCAATCAGGTGGAGGAAAGCTATGGAGGAGGAGATGCATTCTCTTCAAAAGAATGTCATTTGGGAACTTATAAAATTACCAAAGGGTAAGAAAGTAATTAGATGCAAGTGGGTATATGCAAAGAAAGAATGATCTTCTGATAAGAAAGAATGATCTTCTAATGGGGACATTCGATACAAAGCCAAATTGGTTGCTAAAGGGTATGCCCAACTTGAGGGTATTGATTAAAACGAGGTATTCTCACCTGTTGTGAAGCATTCATCGATAAGAATATTATTAGCATTGGTAGCATAACTGAATTTGGATTTGATCCAGATGGATGTGAAAACAACCTTTCTACATGAAGATTTAGAATAGGAGATCTATATGACACAACCGATGGGGTTTAGAGCTACAGGCAAGGAAGAATTGGTATATAAACTGAAGAAATCTCTTTATGGAGTGAAGCAATTGCCGTGATAATGGTACAAGAGATTCGACAGTTTCATGATTCACCAATGGTACACGATGAGCCCATATGACCCGTG